CAGGAATGCAAGCGCTAAGACCCAGCTACAGCCAGTGCTTATTCTTGTGGAGGCATGAGAGAGCTCCCAAGTCACCCACTGCAAAATGCTTCCAAAGGCCCACATCTGTGGGTCATATCCAAAGGTTCCACAGGATGGATCTGGCCTTCAGGCCGTGGGTTGTCAACCCCTGGTCTAGTTTCACTGTCTCAGTAGAATTAAATGTAGAAAAGAATAGTAAAAAGAAAGAACAAGAGAAGTTAATTTGCTTTCCAGTTTAATGATCTTGCATTTTAAAAATGATATATATCTAATTATGGAGAAAAACTGTCTAACTTGAGCTATAATTCTTGTAAAGTTGTCATGACAGTCTTTCTTGCCATGAACGTATCCAAAGTGTGATGAAAATTCAAAATGCTCCACATGCCCATGTTCTGATAATTTTTTTCAAGTCTCTTCACTTGCATTGTACACTTTGTGTTAAACCTTTTTCATGTTTGCAATATGACCTTGGAAAGTTTATCCTGCGAAAAAGTCACTGGCAGCTGTTCTCAGTCACACACACTCCTATTTAAATCCCATTTGGAGGTTTGGACCCTCATTTTGTATAGTCTTTTACAGAAATATGAGTGTAGACTATCCAAAGAAAAAGACACTGTTCCAGTTGGTCAGAGCTTTAGAGGTTACTGCCATAATGTGTGCCATAAAAGAATCTAGAGAGACAAAGAAATTGCTTGCACCAAGAGAGTAACTAAGGTCATTCTGTCTTCTTCACAGCTGCTTTGCAAAAAGTAAAGAAAATAAGTATCTTTTATGGCAAGACAGACCTAACTCTTCCTGGAGTACTTGCAGAGCATTAGCCAGAGTAACTACTGCTATGATTTTTTAAAGAATGCCCTAAGAACTCCCTTTGCACCTGCCTAATTTTGTCTAATCTAGATTTTTCTACAGTGCCATTTACTGTGGTTCCTAAATGCCCTCCTGAAACATCTTTTATAAATGAACGTGGAAGGCATGCTACCGCATTTCCTTATCCACTTGTACCCTTACAGGAGAATAGTGGCCCTTCTGCTCCACGTTGACAAAAATCAATATTGTGACTACTCCTCGTGCAAAGCAGAGAAAGTTGCTGGAACCTTTTAATCTCTAACCAATTTTGGCCCCATATTTGTTAATTAAGATAATCAAAGTCTACTCCTTTTGCATATGAAGTCACTGAAGTCAAATTAAGTCCATCCAGCATTTGCATCTATTGGAATCATTTGCCTTCAAACATGAAACATTTTGCCATACAATATCAGGTATATCAATAATCAGGTGTAATGTGCTAGCCAAATGAGAATGGGATCATTTTTATGTACACGGGAGGCAAAATAACATGCAAACTAGGGAATGGGAGAGGCTGATTCAGTTTCCTCCGCAGTCCCCATATGATTCAGGAAAACGCCGTAACCATCAGGCTATAGGTTAGTCTAGGTGGGGTCAAGTCCAAGAGTCCTACTGACACTTCAGAGAAAGGGAACAAGCACAAACAGGTGTCTTGTAGTGCTAAGGATACTCACTTGGAAGGAGGATCCTGGGAGCATTTCTGTTTTATGTTCAATGAGCCATTGGATAAAACATAGAAATGGTCTTGGCAACACAGGCCAGAAACCAAAACACTCTCCTCCCATTAAGTGCCACAAGAACTTCAACAGGATGGGTGGGCCAGATCCTGGAAGTGGAAAATGTGAGGTAGACCCTTCTTCAGGCTGAGGAGGGAACAGAACCCAAGTTTTCACTTTCTGGGTATGTACTTTAACCCCAAGGCTAGTATTATAAAGTATGGGCATTACCTTCTTCTTTGGTGGTTGTGTTTTAAAAGAAACTGATGGCCACCATTGTGTTTTGTGAGCAGCCTGATCCTGTTGGTATGTGATAGCTCTGCTCTGAGTGCCAACTGAAGTGGGCCATTCAGGGAACAAAGAGGAACACCCATTTTTGGGATTCCGACTGGGCTTACACATGAGCAGGGTGCCAAACTGCTCAGACCAGGGCAGTTCTGTTCATGATCAGAAGCAGAAATAGACACTTTTTAGTGAATACTAAAATCAAACAAGAAGGAACTATGGAATTTAGGCAGCCCTAGAGAGTGCCAGCAGCTGAACAGGAGTTTCCAGGATCATAATTCAAGATATATATGCCTAGCTTCTACGTAAGTCCTGTTTTAGATGCCAAAGTCTAGCCCGATTTATCCAGGGTACTGAAAACAGAGGAGCATTTAAATTATTATTTTCCAGGGGTGACAGGGGGGACACATCTACATTTTTTATTTAAAGCTAAGTAAAGAAATGAAACCAGAGAAGTAAGGAGGTTGAGAACAGACAGACATATTGTCACAAATAAAGAGAGAGTGCCATTTCCACAGCCTTAGGCTGTGGATTCCAACTTAGGTGGCCTGATTCATCCCATCCAACTCAAAAAGAGAAATAAATAAATGCACCTGACAATTAAAAAAAACAAGGAACGTGGAAGACAGGACAGAAAAGAATAGTGGGTAAAATGCTAGGACAGAGGTGAAGGTGGAGGGGGAGGGTTGGTAGGTGTCTTTTCAGGTTTTGTGTGAACATGTATTTTTGCAGGAGTAACTGATAAACAGTATTTACTGCTTTGTGGAAACCACCTCAGAAATCCAGGCAGTTAGCAACGTGCCATCCTACAGTAGTGTAACTTAGCAGTGTGTGACCAGTGCACAAGCCGCAGGCTCTGAGTTAAAGGGAGCACCGGTAATGCTCAGGAAGGTGCAGGAGTCAGTGGTACTTGGGAATGGGGTGGGAGGTCGGAGCATCACTTTGGGAGTGGATGGGGATTGAAATAGCACTTGGGGAGGGAATGAGAGTCAGAGCATCACTCATGGAGGGATAAGGGGCAGATTGGTGCTTGTAGTGGCACACGGGGAGGGGCCGGGGGGTCACAGTAGTATACAGGAAGGGGGTGGAAGTTGAAATAGCACTCAGAGGGAGCAGGATGTAGGTGTTGGGGCAGCACTCAAGGAGGGGCAGGTAGGTGCTGAACCCTGTGTTGTCAACTTCCAGTGGCAACAGAATTTGGCAGCGTTGGATGGCAAAGGGTGTTAACCCCCCTGGATGCTGGCAGTGCCGACACTTCCCTCTGCAGCAGCATCTCCCATGGGGCTATTGGGATTTGCACCCAGAGCCCAAATCTTATCAGTTATGCATCTGCCATCCTGGGTTTATTATTTTAATTATTCCAAGAGACACTTACATAGAAACGGAGCTTTATTTCCTAACTCTTGGACCATGGTAGCCCATGAGGCAGCAGCTCCCTGTGGATCAGCTGGCAGAATAGAGGCCAAAGGGCTTACTGACTCCTGCTGATGCTTCCTTACTTTAAGTTCTAATCCTGTGTGTGTGACTACAGTAGTGACCAAATAGAGGATTATAACTTTGAGTGGGCAATAACCATTAAGCACCAATAAACTTGTAAGAAGTGAAGATTCTGTGTCCGTTTGCAATTGTGCATAAACAGTTTTAAGGCAACGACCCATCCCAGATTCTTACTGTCCAGAATTTTGGGGCTGTGTCCCTGCATTCCTGAGGACTACCTGGAATGGGATTTTCATTGTGAATTTGATAAAAAAATAGTCCTAGATTGCTCCTGGGCATTCACAAATTGTGCAGTTGCCTCAGTCCCTCAAACTGTTTAACCACTATCAGCTGTAAATAGTTGTCTGTGGAGATTCTAGGACTGTGTCTCTTGTTTCATTCCCAGAAAGCTGGTCACTAAACAATCAAAATATATAAGCAAAACTGCTATTCCACAAGCAATTTTAGTTTTCATAAAGCATCAACAACTTCTAAGCTAATTAGGCCAGTGCTGCAGAACCCAACTTGATCACTCTTTCGGGAGGCTAGCAGCTGATTGTAATTTTGAACTTTTCTAGGCAATGGACCTGCTGCAAGTTTAAATTTACTACATTTTGATCCCCTACTCAAGTGTTGCCGTGAACTCCCAGGACTCATCAAATAAGTCTTTTAAACAAGTTTACAAAAATAAAAAGATCTTTTAATCCCGCTACAAACCCTTTTACCAGATCTTTAGGCTTTTTTATACAAGAATGAACAGGACTGCATAGGGCAATAAGACTGCA